AAAACAATCCCTTCCCCCCCCCCCCCCCAAACAACAACAATAAATATATCAATTAAAGCGACTAAATCAAGAACTTCGCTAAGAATACCTAAAAATTCAAATGTAAATATAAGTCATATTTCATCTATATAATATAGATAATAAAAAAAAATATTCAATTGATCATCCTTCGACGTATGCAGCTACGCCCTAGGTCAATTTACAAAGCACTTCTTAATAGACGAAACAAACTTCAATGATAGTTCAACTATTTTTGAGAATAAACAGAATTTGTCATTGAATTTTTCGACTTCTGGTTGATCTGGAGAAGAATTTCCCAAAGAAAATTGTGGTGATGATGAAGTGTTTCCATCGTAAAAATCTGAATTTTTGAATTTTGGTATATGAATTGGTTGATTTTTCAGAAGGTCACTGAGGCTTACATACTTATATTCAGCCATGATTTCCTTGGAAATTTCTTTTGGGTGAAACTAGAACTTTAATTTTTTTAAAGAGTAAAGAAAAATAATGTTTGTGTATTGAAAAAAAAATATATGGGAGGATATATATATAGCACAAAGTACAATAATTATATAAGATGCTTGTAATATGAGTATAGATTATGTGACATCTTTTTTTCTTGGGATAGAAGTGGATTAATTAATTAATTATAAGTTTATAGGGATTAATGATGAAAGAAATAAAAATCCAGTCAAACTTCTTTATAATAATTTAGTTTATTCGAAACATTTGTTACATACATTGTATAGTGATGAATATTGTTATACACCTTAAAAACAATTAACATTTAAATCTTATTGGTTCTTATAGACGAAAAATACCCATAATTTTTTAAAATTTATGTTATAGAAGATTATTTATTATTTAATTTTATAATATATATCAAATGATAGTAATAATTCATTAATAAAAAATCTTAAAAACTAATAATAAATTTATAATGATAAATCTTTGACATTTGTTCACTTTCTAGTTCCTCGCATTATGCAATAAAATGGATTATTTTGGTCCTTTCCTCGAAAACGATTCCATTTGTTATCGTGAAATAATGTAATAAAAAATGGATGTTAACTTGTTATAAAGAGGTGTGATTGTCATGGCCACACAACGAGACTAATTTCAAGTACGATCAATAAACGGGTATAATCAAATGTGATACAACATCACTACTATGCATGACTAAAATTTTCTTGCTATTGACTTAAAACTCCCATGAAAAATGAGTCATTAGCGGTGTATACTCAGTATATAACATGTATGTAACAAATATATTATCAGCATATAATGTTTGCGGTGTATACTCAGTGTATAACATGTATATAACAAATATATTATCAGCATATAATGTATACACATTGGTTATACTAGCTAAAACAATTTAGTTTTAACAAAAAAGAGTATTTGTTGTTGCGACTTTGTTGGGCTACTGTGTAAAAATCTCATATAACTATAGTAAGTAATTAGAAACTTGTAAGTTGTAATGCACTATCAAATATATGGCATATATAATTGGATTTCAAGAGACAATAAGATAAAAAGAGCAGTCTGATGCATAAAGCATCTCGCGTTCACGTATGATTTGAAAAAGGATAACACTCCAGAAGTATTAATGACTGTTTTCATGTTTCAAACACATAAAAACTTATTTACGTAGAAAAAATAATTTTTAACCAAATAAACCTGAAAATATTTTAAAAATTCCTATCTGAGATTAGTCATACCTATCATATGAGATCGATAAACAAAGCACATAAATTTTTGATAATTTCATTATTTTCTATTCAAATTGATTAAGTTATAAACTAAGCTAATGTTGGTAGATAAATTAGTTGATTTATATCATGTTTGATTTTTGGTGCAGATTTTGATATCGAAAATTAACGTTATGTTACTGATGCATGTATAAGTTATTAAAAATTTATACATTATTTTATATATATGTAATAGAAGGTAGACTATATATAATACATGTACTAGCAATATGTAGATACGAGTATCTAAAGATATATATAAAATGCATAATTCCTCAAAATCAATTCACGTATTATCTATTAGTCGTATAATAATTTTTATATTATATATCATTTGCGAAATAATTCGTATTACTAATCTTCATACAACTAATTCACGCATCAAAATCAGAAAAATTAAAATAAGAGGCATGAACTATTTCTTCTAATTTATTTATTTTTCAAATTTGGTAAATATTGGTTGATTATATATTTCACTATAATTTTTTTAGTCAACGTTTAAATTTGGTTCTATCAAATCTTTTGGTTAGCCTCAATATTTCTTACTTGTTTGACTGTTGCTGAATTGTTTCTAGTCAACGTTAAAATTTGATTTCATCCAAAAAAAATGGGTTGACCTAAATATTCCTTACTTGTTTGAGTGTTGCTGAGTTGTTTCTGGATATTAAGCAAATTTCTTTAGAAGGTAATTCTAAAGTTCCCAATTTTTCCTCTTTTGTCATCAGTTTCGTTATGGCATATGTCGTATTATTTACATCAAACCAAATGACCCTTACTGTAATCAAGTTCTAAAATCTAAGGCCAACAAATATTTGAAAATAAAATTTTGAAATATTCACAGTCAAATAGTAGTTAAAAGGACATTGGACGATTTTTATTTAAGAATTATTGAAATTCCCATACTCAGTGTATAACATGTATATAAAAAATATATTATCAGCATATAATGTATACACATTGGTTATACTAGCTAAAACAATTTAGTTAAAAAAAAGTATTTGTTGTTGTGACTTTGTTGGGCTACTGTGTAAAAATCTCATATAACCATAGCAAGTAATTAGAAACTTGCAGTGCACTATCAAATATATGGCATATATAATTGGATTTCAAGAGACAATAAGATAAAAAGAGCAGTCCGATGCACAAAGCATCTCACGTTCACGTATGATTCGAAAAAGGATCACACCCCAGACAACCTCCTCTAATGTAAGCATTAGTGACTATTTTCACGTCTCAAACACATAGAAGAGACAATAAGATGATAATACATATTCCAATTGATGTCCACAGTACCAAAAACTACAATTTGTGTTATTACAGAGTGATAATATTATTAGCCCTCTCAAAACTCTGCTACACAATTTAACGGTCGATTTACGCAAATAGCCATTTTACAGCCTTGTACATAGAAGATGACAATTTTTTCGAAACTAGACCAGTGGTCTGAAGTTTATAATCCAAAACTACTATTCAAACCACGGGTCTAATTTCGAAAAAATGGCCAACTTCTAAATACAACGCGACAAAAGTGGCCACCTGATGTAAACATCACCATTTTATCTTACAACATAAATGAACTGGTTTACAAAAGCAAGCTTTCGTCTCTCTCGATAGCTCATTATAGCATTTAAATTCTACACACTGATCATAATATACATGATATGTTAACATAAAAGCCGAGGAATTCACAATCTCCGGACCTAAGTAAACGTGCAGCTAAGTTCATGAGTACTTCAAATGTGTGAAGTCACCTAGTTAGAGTTGCAAGAACAGAAGCAGAGAAAGTTCAGCGTACTCGTGGTGAATCTTGATCACTCTCCAGAAAGAAGACTGATCATGTGCTCCAGAAATGACGAACTCTCACTTCTCTGCAGCATTCTTTAGTTGACAAATTGAGGCACGACGTATCTGCTTTGAGCTTCGTTGCTCAGAAACAACGTGATCCCCTGAGACACAATCATACAATTTGTCATTGCAATTACAAATATGGTATTCTTTCATCCATTTGGAGGAAAACTCAAATCATTTGGTCCCAATTTAAAACGGATTGTTTGTTTACCATATATGATAACAAGTTTACCATCAATAGCTTCTGGTCGGGAGAGGATCATAGTCGTAAGCATCACCAGCCTTGATAAACCGTCCCTTCACACGCCTTCTGACATCAGCTCTTGCCTTACGGGAAACATATCTCACTCGCTTGTCAAATCTATTACATTATAAAAAGACTATTAAAAGGTATTGATAACCTACTCTGGAATCATGGTGCACATAAGCTAAATAAACAAGGTATCTCAACCAGTTCTAAGGAACTAAAGACTCTTATTAAGAGTGGTACCATTTCTCGGTTTCAATGTGATACGATGACGCAACTGAACAAAACTTGAGATGATACTGACATGTGCATGACTAATGACATATCAACGATTAGTAAACAAGAACTTACTTCCTTGTCTTCTTTTTTTCCTTGTAGCGCAACACAGCATTGCTCCTGCTAGTCGATGTTGATGAAATTTCAGTACATGGAGGACACCATGGTGGCTCGCCCATTAGGAGCATCGGGGAGACTCCACAGTCTTGGTGATCTCCAGCACTGCATTCTCCACCAGTTTGGTTGGAAACTGAGAGACTAGATTGTCTAGCAAAGTAAAGGATAGAATCCGTCTTGCAGCTCATCATGGAATCTGCAGATGCTGCATCGCTACATGTTGGCTGCACTGTATTCACACGCCAATTTGATGACCCCTGGTAAAGTATTAACAGATTTAGGTTCATCCACATTTAGTATGACTGGCGTAAGACTTACCCGGCAAGATCAAAGAATAATCACAGACGACATGATAAAGAGCACCAGAATACAATACGACGAATATAGAGATATACCATTCACAAACATAAAGATGTAGGGAAGTAAAAGAGAGAAAATAGACGTGCTGCACTACAGGAAGGAATCAATAATTTGTTTTGGTATCTAGTACTAGATCGTTGAGGGTCTATCAGAAACAACCTCTCTACCAAGGTAGGGGTAAAGGTTGCATATACACCACCCTCCTAGAACCCACTTGTGGGATTACACGGGGTATGTTGTTTTTGTCATATCTAGTACTAGATCCTGCTAAAGGTTGGCAAACCAAAAGAGATATGTCATGTTATGCAGCAGAAGGAATGTGTTGCAATTAAGAGGTCAGATTACCAGCAAGAAAACCTTACTACTCTTCAATTGTCAAGCAAATCCAGATGAAAAATTACAAATCTTCAACAACGTAAAGTGGGGTCTAGAGAGGGTAGAGTATACACAGACCTTACCCCGACCTCATGGAGGTAGAGAGGTTGTTTTCAGAAAGACCCTTGGCTCAAGTGCATCAAATCAAAATAGTTGTGAGCGAAGAAATACGGCAATGAAGAAAACATGACAACTAATATGGAAAGCAAAAAAGGAACAGGAACTGATATGATAACAGATATCAAAAAGCAAGAAACTACACGAATAAGGCTAATACTACGACACACACAGTGCTCCAGACTACCACCAAACCTAATCCCACCAAAAAGCACGACAACAGTAAACAACCTATTAACCTTCTACCCGAATCTGTGGCCTTAATATCCTCCTAATAAAGTCAATTACTAAAAAAGTGATTATCTCCACTCCAGAAATTGGTGGTCGGAAATCCTTCAAATAAATAATTTAGGTCTGTTGATGATGGCTAGTCCAATGTAAACATATCAGTTTGGGTCTAGCTCATACTCCATATAGGCAAGAGCAACAACAAGTCAACAACTATGTCTCAACCCAAGCTAGTCTGGGTGGTAGCTGCTTTGGGACATAAAGCGCCAAGAACGTAATAGAAATCGGGTTAAGAACTAGCCTCAGGCATAGTATGGAATATGCATGGATTTTATGCTGCATACTAGTTCTGTTTGTAGCCGAGGGTCTATTGGAAACAACCTCTCTACCTCACAAGGTAGGGGTAAGATCTGCGTACACTCTACCCTCCCGAGACCTTACTTGTGGATCACACTGGGTATGTTGTTGTATTAGTACAGTCTGTGCCAGCTCTGACTACAGAAATCTGAACATCGTAATAACTTCAGAGTAGACATTTTCTAAACATCATGCCAATGTTATTAATTCAAAAAAAAAAATAGCAATGATGAATGAACAGAAATACATATCCAAGATGGTCTTTCCTACCAATTCATTGTGGACCCTTACATGCTAATTCAGCAAGTTGTCTGTCTTCTGTTTCTCGACTGATTTCTAACCCCTTTCTCTTACTCCACCACCTCTCACAAACTAAATGAATTACCCACACAATAAAAACAGAAAAATACAGCTAAAATGCAATGCATTCTTCAAACACTGCACATAAACAACAAACGGTAGAATGTAAATGACAATATGTAATAATACTCTGAAATATTTCAAATGTTCTATTGACTTGTCTATGATAAAATAAAGGGAGCGGTTAGTGAAAAAATATAGCAGGAGCAGTCGTCACGCCTGCATGTGTACGATAGCTACAGGCCAGAATAAAATTTCAACATCTATAGATGATTTAACTGTTTAATATTTGTTGAAACAAAACTAATTTCCTTTTTTGTAACTGAGACACAAACCTATCACATACCGACACAGTGAATTCATTAAAAGCATCAAAACGCAGCATTTGACATCACATCCAAAAGTTTAAGAAAAACAGACATAGTCCAAAACCTGATACAACATATAGCATAATTGTCCAACCTACCATGATTGAAAAGAACCAATGAAACTAGTATTATGTAAAAGGAGTCCTACTATTAATAGTACACGGTTACGATAGATATAAGCTTCCAACTCCCTTTACCTGAAATCAGTGCTGGGACCATCAATTATCAAGAACTTAGAAGGAACCCTTAATCATGCGAAAATACTAGATTCCAGCACCTCAAACCAGATTGGTTATTTACTAATTGGTGCATCAGTCGCAGGTCCTAAAACTTTAGCTAAACTATAGGAAACTTTCCTCGTGCAACATACTACTGTTTTTTATTATTTTTATAAACCGTGGTGTCTGGTCAAGCTTGCGTGCACCTCGACTAATTCCACAGGATACCTATCACCTTCACCAGCAACAGGAACCCAATAACTCCTTAAGATACTACTGTTTTTCCCAGTCCAATAAAGGTTGAAAAGCTAGAAGTATTCCTTCTGCTACATGCAACGGGTACTATTAATGTCAATTGCTTGAATGGGAATTGATCCATTTAAGTTGCAAATACCGATCAAGTGACAAATATCAGAACTAGCAGAAAACTCAAAAGAATCTATCTACCTCTTATCTTTGTATTGTACTTTTTCCAGCTAAATTTATAATAATTCAGCCACCAGAACCACATTCCATTCGGGCTTTGACTCACTATTCAGAGGTTTGAGTCCTTCCATCCCAGATCAATTTCTCTCACTTCAACCTAATGTTGACAGCGGATACTCAAGTTTATTGGAAGTATCCCAATGGTGTAATGCCTTGAAAACTCACAAGAGCACTGAGATCTTCACCTTAGCTCCAAAAGGTAATTTACGACTACCAGTCATACAATGAAACAACATGTTTATTGCTGCTGGGTGACTAGGGATGAGACCAGATTGACCATCGTATGGGTACACCGGTGATTAGACTAGCGCTCTCCCCCTTTAAGAAATATTTTAAATGGTTCATGCTATAAACTAATGAAGACACCCCAGCCCCTGACAGTTGAGTGAGGCATTCTCTCTTTCCTTTTCTTTACAAACAAAAGAAGGCACAAACTAGAAAACTACAAAAGAACATTACACATTTGGTGGACATCCTTCAACATGAAGAGAAATGTTTCTGATAAGTAGTGTCAAACTGTAAATGAAGAGAAATGATTATACTAACTAGACATGACGAGAGAAAAAGTCAAGTAATTCATAGGTTCTTGATCTAGCTAACAGTAATAGTAATGGCATGCCATCACTGTGAAAAAACTAATAGTCAACGAAAATTATATGGCAGTTGAAGTATATGCAACAGTGTTAACATGATACAGTTAATCCTCAGACCCACCTCGGCAGCATTGACACCACGGTAGCTGTAGTCGGCACCTTTTATGTCCTTCATCCCAAAGAAGCTATCCAAATTTTCATTCTCAAATAGCTCATCCGGATAATTGAGAGAATCACCAAATAGCTCTTCATAATTCTCAATACTCAAGTCCACCGCATCCATAATGAGATTATCACAATAAGGATCCTCCTCAATTAAACTAGAGCCCTTTGCTCCCATATAGCAGCCCTGAAAGTCGATAAAGATAATAGCTCAAGAAAATTCTCAAAAGTGACAAAAGGAGAGACAATCATGCTTCAAGCACAGACATTTTCAGTCAACCATTTCCTCTCCTCCCCCCAACCCCACCAAGCCGTCGGGATTCGGGAATCAGGAGCAGAGTTGCTAAGCATTTGGCAAAATGATGTACGACATATCGACAAGATAAAAA